CTATCTATCTAACCATCTATCTAACCATCTAACTATCTATCTAACTATCTATCTAACTATCTAACTATCTAACCATCTATCTAACCATCTATCTAACCATCTATCTAACCATCTATCTATCTATCTATCTAACTATCTATCTAACTATCTATCTAACTATCTATCTATCTATCTAACTATCTAACCATCTATCTAACTATCTATCTAACTATCTAACTATCTAACCATCTATCTAACCATCTATCTAACCATCTATCTAACTATCTATCTAACTATCTATCTAACTATCTAACTATCTAACTATCTATCTAACTATCTATCTATCTATCTATCTATCTATCTAACTATCTATCTATCTAACCATCTATCTAACTATCTAACCATCTATCTAACTATCCATCTATCCATCTATCTAACTATCTATCCATCCATCTATCCATCCATCTATCTATCCATCTGTCTATCTGTCTATCTATCTAACTATCTATCTATCTATCTTTCAGTGACCCCCAGCCCGATGAAAGGAAAGGGGAAGGGGCGTCCCAGCACCAAGACCGTGGAGAAGAGCTCACCCAAAGAGGAGGAAGAGGAGGAGCCCGAGAGCCCCCTGGAGGAGGAAGAAGAGGAGGAGGAGGAGGAGAAGAAGGAGGAGAAGAAGGCCGCCGTGAAGAAGGAGACTTCCCCCGCCCCCAAGAAGACGAAGGAGGCCGAGGAGGAGGAAGACGAAGAGGAAGAGGATGGCTCAGAAGAGGAGGCGCCTTCCGGAGAAGACTAGACGAAGATGGTACCTCCCCCCCCCCCACCCCAAAAAACCTCCCCGCCAACCTGAAGCCCATCGTCTCTTTCTCCGTCTCTTCTCAAAGTTTTGTTGCTCTGCGTTTAGAGGTTGTTTTATTTTGACTTTTTTTGTTTCTCTCCTGGTGGCCTGGCTCAACGGTTTGGACTTCTTATGTGTGCTTTTTTTATTTGTTTTGCTTCTCCCCCCCATCTTCTCCTAACTAAGACATTGTGCTCATGTGATCATCCGCTGTGTGAAAGGAGTCCCTACATTCATTCTGAATTTACTTTAGTGTGAGCCTTCCCCCCCCCCCCCCCCCCCCCCCCTCCTCCATGAGCTCAGTGCTAGCGAGCATCCGTCCTGATTGTGAAACAGATCCATTCGCTTGTTTTTAGTTTTTTTTTTTTTTTTTTTTTCGCTCACTGATACCTGCGATTACTGAGCGTATTGTCACACAGCTTCTCAGTATCAGCTACTAAAGCGCTGTATTTACAAAGCTTAAGTCGACACACGCAGCGCCGGAAAGCCTTCTATTTGGTACTTGTGTGCTTTTTAAAACCAGAAGCATGTTTTAACACGGGAGTTCGGTATTTCAATTTCTTTTTTTTAAAACGTCTCCCCGCTTCTTTTCTCCTGGTGACCTTTTTTTGTTGCGTGGCTGCTGCTCCATCATTTTCAACGCGTTATCTTAGACCGGCGGAGTGTTTTACTTCGCACACCGTCACATGTTTCAAGCCAGCATGTGAGTTAGTGTTTTAAGTACTCGATGAAATGCTTCTTTGGTGGGGGGGGGGGGGGACTTCCTGTTCTGTTCAGCTGCCTATGTTAAACGGTTGCTGTTGTTCTATGTTTGGCTTTCTAACGATGCAGCTCTTTACGTGAAGAAACCCCCCCCCCCTCCCCCCCCATTAACCCCTGCATGGCTACAGCAGCTTCTCAACATTTCAGCCCCTTGTGCCAGGCACCCCCTTTTTATTTTTCATGAAATGCAAGAAGAGATGTTTGGTTTTATTTAGTTTTTTGTTTTTGAGAGATCAAAAAAATGAATGTTGTTTTTTCTCCTGTTGTTCTAATTCTCTATTCAGATTTTTTTTTTGTAATGTTTGTTTTTTAAGAAAAGAAATAAAATGTATCTTGATTTTAAAGAAAAAAAGTCGACCCTATCCAATCTGTTGTGAACGGCCTTCCCTTGATTTCCTCCTCCTGTATTCTCACTCGGCTTACTGTTTGCATCCTTGTGTTTTTCAGAGCATTTGTTTGCCCCCGTTTCTTCACATGCGGATACATTTTTTACAGTACTAAGGCTCGGAAAAGATTTAAATAAAGGTGGCAGCTCGGTCTTTATCCAGCACTCGTTTGTCTATATTAATGCCTTAATTTCAACTGAGTTCAGTTTCAGTAGTTTATCATTGAAGAATGTAATCTGTCCTTAAATCTGAGGTCTTTGCTACAAGCGGTGAGTTACGGCCCGTCCACACAGCGGCGTGCGTTGTCGCTTGCCGGCGGGCATGTCTGAAGCTAGACCAACAACCAATCACCTGAATCTCCCGCCCCGGACACACAAGCAGCGGTTTGATTGGCTAGAGCTTGTACTGGCATATGATTCGATTGGCTGACGCTTCCGTCGAAGCTTCAAAAGTTGAACATTGCTCAACTTTAGCAGCGAGCAAAGCTACGCTTCGCTCCCACAATGCAGTTCGGCGAAGCGTGACGTCACCCCATTCAAAGTGAATGGGCTGAAACGTTGAAGCTTTAACGCACGCCGCTGTGTGGACGGGCCGTTAGTCTTAAAACCATTTTTAACCATCAAAAGCCATAAACGATCTTGAAACTAGTGACGCGGAGATCAGATGCAGCATTTGTAAGATTGTCCTTTTTTCCCGATATGAAGTGGTTTGATCGCAAAGCGACAAAAAATATGTAGATAAGAAATCTGCTATGTACGGAAGAGGCCACGTGTGACTTTCTTTTAAAGATCTGAACTGAAAAGTGATTTTTTTTTTTTTACTTTTGTGATTAAATTCTGAGGAAAAGACGGAATTTTTTGATTAAAGTCCGAATTTAAAGAAAAGATAATCGGAATCCTTAAATTTAAAGTCGGAATTCTGAGATTTTAGAATTCCTCATTTTCTCTCAGAACCAAAAAAAAAAAATGACATGACCAATTCCTCTTCCGTGATATAACAATATTGGGGACACTTTTTATTATTCGGCTCCCGTCACAAAATTGTTTAGATTAGTCTCTTGATTCAGTCCTGCATGTCTACAGGACTCAAACCTAGTCATTGGTTCAGAAGCACATACAATTATTTAACAACTGTCCTCAGCAGGTTAGTGTGTTTTCTACGTGGACGTCCTGAATGGCACCAATCCTTAATGTCCATTTGTGATGGTTGGATATAAAAAAAGCGTGTTTATACGAACCTAAACCCTTGAGGATCAGAAACTGTCCTGTAGGTCACAGCGCTGAGGTTTTCTCCATCACCCCTCAGGAGGCACACGGCATAAGGCTGTGAATTTCTCCTCTTTCACCCATTCTCAGATTTCTTCTGTTCTCTTTTTGATGTTTCTTTTCTATCTACCTGCCGTTGTGCTGGCTGGCAAGTTTAATGCAAGCCAGGTTGTGATTCCTACAGGAGCCCATGTTGAGGAGCTTTGGTCTGTGGAGAGGGTACGCTGAACTCTTGAATCTTTTGCATGTTGTGGGAAAAGTGCAAAGCGTTGATGATGCTGGTAATGGCAATTTTGTGGTCTTTCAAAAAAACAAAAAAGTATTAACGACTATGTTGATAATGTTTTGGTTTCCCAGCTTCAAATAAAGGCAACCTACTTTTTATACGGATTTAACTACTTGTTTTGTGAAGTTGAGATCTGTGAAATGTGGCTCTGGTTTTATATTGATCTGCGCTACTCAGTGAATGCCACTCTGTGGTGCTGTGTGCAAAGGTCTTCTGAAGTGACCGCTCACATACACATTGTGCAGTTTAGCCACACTGAAGAACCTGATTGGTGGAAATAATGTCATAAAGGTTGAAAACAGCAAAATGATCCCCTCATGTCTTAATCATTTTGTTACATTTAATCTGACACATTATAAATGATTAGGTCTGCTGACCCCTTCATCAGTGTATGTCCTCAAGGGATGGAAATAACCGGAAAGAAGGACAAAATGAAGGAGAAAGTTGAGGTATAAAAGGTCAGTGAAAGTCAAAGTCCCTTTCCGGGAAAATAGAAAACAATAGGAAGCGGAACAAATGAAAAAGGTTCTGTGCAAGACCTGTGCTGCAGTTTGTACAAAATAACTGACTCAAGTGCAGTAATGAGACGGCAGGCCCACCCACAAGTTTCTTTCTCAGCATGACAAGAAAAAACAATCGTCACTCTCCAGACCTGTAGTCCGGAGTGTGTGTCCTGTCTCGGGCAGACACACACACTTATACAGACTGCTGAGCTTCAGATGGAAATTGCTGCTGGTTTTCATCACCAGTTTTGTTCCTTGAGGAGAGACCAAATAACTTTGATGTGGCAAGTGAATCATCTCTGTGTTCCTGAAAAGCATTATTTAAGATTATGAATGTCTAACAGAAACATGTTCTTGTTTATTTAGTGAGAGAACGTAACAACAGCCATGGTGTCAGATAATGAGACCATGATATTGATGAAGAAATTGTATCTAGTAACAGAAAACTGGTAACAGATCATGGATTATAAGTGGAGGATATTTACAGTTATGATTTTCAGTACTATTAACGTTAACCTAGTTTACGGCAGATAGATTCCTCACACTTCTGAACACATGTGAAGTGTTTTTCTGAGAATTCAGGGTACAGGGGGTATTGTGAAATAATGTGTGGATAAAAAGAGAAATCTAGATTATAGAAGGTCATCTGAAAAGTGTGCAGGTAACTTTATGAACCCATTTACAACTGGTGCAAACATGCAATTTAGAGAAAATGCAAGTTAATTAAAGTCAGAACATGATTATGTAGCAACATTACCAATTTGCAGATGGAAACCTTCAATTATTCTATAAGTAACAGGTGCTTTTTGTCTCTTAGGCCCAATATATTTACAGGAGAGAAGGGTGTGCTATACTCTCAAGAAGACGGCACGCCGGCAGAAGTTGTATACAAGTTGTTCTCTGATGGGAAGTGTTGTTTGTCCTTAAAGAAAGACTTATCTAATGCCAACAAAAATAGATAAAGTCTAAAAAGGTGTCACGACACATTATGACAAAGACATCCTAAAAAAACGGACAGCCAGGCATTAAATACTGCAAACATAAACCAAAGATGGAGAAGGAAAATCCGTTGAGGATGATGCTCATGGTGTGCACAATATCATTTGGTCTGGAGATGTGCATCGCTGTGGGAAACGTCTACGTACCGCCTCTATTGATGCAGAGAGGCATGGAGAAACAGCACATGACCATGGTGTTCGGTAAGTGGATGAACTATAGGTTGGGAGGGTTACTTTTAACATGTAACACGTTACAATTACTAGTTACCTGCATGTTATCCGTTACTCCCGGATCAGTAACAGAGATGGCAAAACTACACACATCCTTTACTCAAGTAGAAGTACACATACTTGTGTTTAAAAATACTCTGGTAAAAGTAGAAGTACTGACTAAACTTCTGTACTCAAGTAAAAGTAAAGAGGGCTTTGAAATGTACTTAAGTAAAAAGTACCCATAACTACCAGCTGTTACAAAGAGTACCTGACCTCCCTTTATATTAATAGAACAATAATGTCATTGTTAGCTGATGAATGTTTCCATGCTGAACAACGGCAACATGACAACGTTTTCATTGGTCCCTCTTCTTTAGAGAAGACCAGGAAATGATGGATACACGGATCGTGTTCAAATCAATAGGCACGCAATGACTCTAAATAATAATGATCACGCCACCAAACACACATTCAAACTAAAGGAACCAGCCTGTTTGGAAAATGTAAGAAGTAGAAAGTACAGGTATTTGTGTTCAAAATGTAAGAAGTAGAAAGTACAGGTATTTGGGTTCAAAATGTAAGAAGTAAAAGTGAAAAGTTGTCAGAAAATAAAGTAGCGGAGTAAAGTACTGATACCAGAAACATGTACTTAAGTACAGAAACAAAGTATTTATACTCCACCTCCTTCCCACCTCTGGTCTGTAATTAGCACAATGGCCTCATTCCTTGGCTCCAGTCAGCTGGGTCACTGTGGTTCAGTAGAGAGAACAGACAGTCTATTAAGACGCTAGCAGGTAACATGTGAAAAGAGAAATACTTGGAGAAAGAGAAGAGAAACTCTTTGTATACCTTGTGTCACTTTTACTACAGGTGTAGAGCAGAATATGTCTTGCCTACATTTTTTCTGATGTTACCTACCAGTTTCTCATTGTCCAGCAATGTATTTCATAACCAATCTAATCAAAAATGCGAGCGATTCGTGGCAGGGTCATTTTGGTCGTCGCTGGCCGTTTATCTGGGTGTTCAGCCTGGGAATCATAATAGGGCTGGAGCTCATGCCAGGAGCCGCGCACCTGTCCTCAAAACCCTGGCTGATATCCGCTCTGCAGGCTGGAGCTGTGTGTCTGACAGACTTCTGTGCACTGGTGAGTTAAACACATTCAAGTCTTAATTTGTGCACAACGTTAACCCTTCAATCTAGATGTGAATAAGTTAAAGGGGCCCTACAGTATAATGCTTTTTGGGGTTGTCCCTTTCCTGTAGTGTGTTATATAGGTTTCCGTGCATGTAAATGGTCTTCAAAGGCTAAAATCTCTAAAATCCCCTTCTCTATTGGACTATTTGTTTACTTCCTGAACATAGTGACATCACTATGTAACACTCGGGCTCCTATTGGCTAGCGCTCCAACACATTGTACGTGATAGGCGGGACATCTCTAAGCGGTTGACCAATCACAACAAAGCCGGCCAGCTAACCAATCAGAGCAGACTGGGCTCTGGTTTCAGACAGAGGGTGAAAAGAGGTGCTGCAGCACAGGCAGTATGAGAAAAATAAAGAGCTTTTTGAACATTAAAGCATGGAGACATGTCCCAGTAGAGACACTAAAAACTAATATACACCTGAAAAAGAACATAATAGGGCCTCTTTAAATTGGGCCCAATGTGAATCAATCAATCTAGACTTGGTTGTAAAGATTTATTCACCAATGCATGTTCAATTGACCAAAAATAAGTGCTAAAGAATGTGCTTTACTTCATAAATTATAATATTGAAGACTTCTATGAGAAGGTTTATACAGCAAAGATTACACAAAACAGGACATGCTCAAAGAAAGAATACACATTAAAATGTTTTCTATATTTATATTTCTTGTAGGCAATCTTTTGAACTGTCTTCATGATCAGTTATTATAATAGTTAAATATTTGTCTACGTTATACATTATACACATTTCCCAAATTCCTAGTTTGTGTAAAGCCAGTACGCAATCAATCAGATTCTGAATCAAAACATTTTGAAACCTTTTTAGTTTTTTAGATTAGGATTTGTATTAACCCTTGTGTTGTGTTTGAAAGCTGTTACCGTTCATGGTGTTCACGGGTCAATTTTGACTGGGGTGTCTAAAATCAAAGATGAATCTTGATTGGGCCAAATTTAACCCAGAGTCACCCACAACAATGCTGCTGGGTCTTCCCAGACCCGAACACCAAATTATACACTTTTTCTTTTAGAGACCTTCAGACTTGGCAGACAGAAATAGTCCTAATCTGTTTTTTAGTGTTTATAAAGCTGTTGTGGAGGATATCATGAAGCCTTGTTCCGTTAAAAAAAACTAGAGCGCAGTTATTATATCATTTGAACTTGAAACGGGTCACGGGAGACCCAAACACAACATAAGGGTTCAATTAAATCAAAGGTTCCAAAGGTCCTCATCACATTGGTGGAGGAAGGGATAAGGGAAAGGAGGGATGAAGGAATTGGTGGAGGAAGGGATAAGGGAAGGGAGGGATGAAGGAATGAAGGAATTTAGGGGTGGGAGTGATTGGTGGATGAAAGGATAAGGGAAGGGAGGGATGAAGGGATGAGAGAGTGAGGGATGAATCAATGAAGGGGGTCTGGCTAAGGATGAGGTAGAAATAGGGATGTATGAGTGGAAGGGAGAGGGAGGGTTGGTTGAGAGAATGGACACAAATGGTGGCTGGATGTTTTGGGCCGGAAATTAGTAGATTAAGCACTGATTAGAGAGGGGGTTGAGGCATGGCCAAGCTCCAAAATGTAACATAACGAATTAAAATCATACATTGTGCCTCTGTATTCCCTGCTGTCCAGGTGTGCGTATGGCCAGTCCGGCTCTCTTCCTGCAGTGCGTGGTGTCCGTGCTCTGCTCCGCCGTTATGGACCGATGGATTTCTCTGCTGGGGGCCAGGCTGGTGTACATCAGCAGTGTGGCTCTGATGGTATTGGCTACCCGCTTTCATAGGTGTATCAGACAGTGTGATGACAGTTACTGTCATGGCGGCTGTAACAGGATACACAGTCAGCGTCCTTCAGGTGGTGCCCTTCACACTGCTGGTCTCTATCACTCAGATAAACAGGTGAGAGAGTCTCCGTGCACCCCACTTTATGTGCAAACCTTTTTTCACTTTACATTTTAATATCATTATCATTTCTGTTCCGTTTATTGCAGCTTTAAGTTAATGCTGCGCATGTTTCATCAAGTTGGTGAAGATGTTTCTTCATTTGCATTAGTTTTGGCACGTTTGTGTTTTTATATTTACATTTTGTTTTAAGTGCAGTGCGTTTATCCTAATGTAAGTGTTTTAGGCCGTTGACGTGGGTTTGCATGTGTCGGTCACCGTACTTTTTCCTTAGTAAAAAGCTCTTGCATTTTGTACCATGTGTGGGAAAACACTGTACATTAAATACAAGGGAAGAGAAGTTAAAAAAACGTTTTTTCTTGTAAAAAAATGACTGTTAACCTTTAAAACGTATTGCAACGTTGTTGTTTTTGTATTAAGCATTTCAATGTCATTTGCATTTGAAAACTAGATAAACATAACATTTCAAAATTAAGTAAGGTTGAATGGCCAAAGTCTGGACAAATGATGTTGAATATAGCAAAAAAAGGCAACTTCATACAATTAAAATAACGTCTGATGAATTAATTAAGTAAGAAGTGTTTTTTTAGGCCACAAAAATTGTGAATTTTTTGCGGAGAGAAAGACCAGTTACATGCACAAAAACCTATACAACACACTACTAGAAAGGGACCCCAAAAAAGCATAATCAAAGTCAAAGTCAACTTAATTGTCAATCTTTCAGTTTGTGTGTTCAGTTTCCCACAATCCCGAATACAAAAACAATGTAATATAAAAATATGTATAAACATACACACAATCAAAAGACACATTTATTCATATGCACACATTAAGACCTAAATAAAAGCACAACAATCAATATATACAAAATAACAGTCACTTCCATATCTTTGAGAATGTACATTAGTGCAAGACTGTCCATAGCAGCGTAAAATAATAATAATAATAATAGGGCCTCTTTAAATGTAACTGTGTCCCCTGCAGGTGCTGCCGTCGCAGTGCCAGGGCTACATCGTGCAGCTGGCTCGCACTGTGAGGGCTTACATGGTCTCCGCCTGCTGCTTCAGCCTGCTGGCCTTTCTCTACTCCACCAAGATGGTGTACAGCCATGCTGACCTCCAACACTGACCGTCACTCTACAGAAACTGCTCTCCTTGCTGTCTCTGAGGAACTGCACACTGCTAAAGCAGCCTCCCTCTCCTCTGTCATCATCCTAGCCTCCCTCTCCTCTGTCATCATCCTCTTGGACCTGTCTGCTGCATTCGACCCGGTGAACCATCAGATCCTCCTTCACACTCTCCAAGAACTTGGAGTTTCAGGCTCTGCACTTTCCCTCCTCACCTCCTACCTCAAAGACCGCACCTACAGGGTAACTTGGAGAGGGTCCGAGTCTGACCCTTGTCAATTAACTACAGGTGTCCCTCAGGGCTCTGTCCTCGGTCCCCTCCTCTTCTCTCTGTACACAAACTCGCTCGGATCGGTCATTAGCCCGCATGGTTTTTCATACCATTGCTATGCTGACGACACTCAATTAATTTAGTATTTTCCCCGTTCTGAAACCCAGGTTGTCGCACGCATCTCTGCTTGTCTAGCAGACATCTCTCGGTGGATGTCTGCTCACCACCTCAAGCTCAACCTTGACAAGACTGAACTGCTTTTTCTTCCCTGGAAAAGATTGTCCCACTTTTGACCTAACAATCAACATTGGCCCCTCTGTTGTTTCCCCGACTCAGACTGCAAGGAATCTGGGTGTGACCCTAGATAACAAACTGTCCTTCACTGCAAACATCGCTGCAACAACCCGCTGCTGCAGATGCACTCTTTACAACATCAGGAGGATACGTCCCCTCCTGACCCAGAAAGCGACGCAACTTCTGGTCCAGGCTCTCGTCATCTCACGCCCTAGACTACTGCAACTCCCTCCTGGCTGGTCTACCTGCATGTGCCATCCGACCTCTGCAGCTCATCCAGAATGCAGCGGCTCGTCTGGTCTTCAACCTTCCTACATTCTCCCACCACACCGCTCCTCCGCTCCCTTCACTCCCTACACCCCAGCACGTGCACTCCGCTCTGCATCAGCCAAACGGCTCGCTGCACCCGCACTGCGAGGGGGACCCAAGTTCCCATCAGCAAAAACACGTTGGTTTGCTATCCTGGCTCCAAAATGGTGGAATGAGCTCCCCATTGACATCAGGACAGCAGAAAGCTTACACATCTTCCGGTGCAGACTGAAAACTCATCTCTTTCCACTCCACTTCGAGCAATAAAAAGAAAAAATAAGAAAAGAAAAGCACTTAAATACTAACTAAGCACTCATATACTAACTAAGCACTTACATACTAACAAAGGACTGGCTTATCTAAAGCCAGTTGAGTAGCACTTAGTAGAAACCTGATGTACTTATATGATTCTGTTTTCTTCAAGTTTGTATCTTCTTGGTCGAATGCACCTATTGTAAGTCGCTTTGGATAAAAGCGTCAGCTAAATATAATGTAATGTAATATCTCCTCCAACAAGACCAGCAGAGGATATACAGCAGGACATGAGCTCTGATGCTGAGCTAGTCACAGGTTTACATGTATCCTTCTTCTTCTCAGGGACCTCTTTGGACATTGTGTTATACATTAGGAGGAAGCATTATGCTCATTTTCAGATTAATATTCGTATCGAGTGCCTCTCCTGTGACATGTCTCCATGCTTTAATGTTCAAAAAGAAGTCTGTTCGATGTGGAAGAAGCAGGAGAGAGAGAGACACACACACACACACACACACACACACACACACACACACACACACACACACACACACACACACACACACACACACACACACACACACATATATATACACACACACCAGCACAGCATGATGGGAATAACTCACATTCGAAACAAGCCCTCTGCAGCCTACAATTTGACAGAAACCACTCAAACTAACCACACTAGTGGGTGGACCGGGAATCAAAAAGACAAAGGTTACCTCCACACCTAACCTTACCTAACAATTAAAATGTTATATCCTCCGAGAAACTCATTATACACACGATCAAGGTTTAAAAGGGCCCTATTTTCCTCATTTCAGGTGTATATCAGTATGTAGTGTCTCTCCTGGGACATGTCTCCATGCTTTAATGTTCAAAAAGCTCTTTATTTTTCTCATACTGCCTGTGCTGCAGCACCTCTTTTCACCCTCTGTCTGAAACCAGAGCCCAGCTCTGATTGGTTAGCTGGCCGGCTCTGTTGTGATTGGTCAACGGCGGAGAGATGTCCCGCCCCTTAGCCTATCACGTACAATTTGTTGGAACACTATCCAATAAAAGCACGAGTGTTACATCGTGATGTCCTTATGTTCACTAAACAAAGGAGTCCAATGGAGGAGTTTCAGGCAAGGGGGGGGGGGGGTTGGGTGTGAGAGAAACTCCTTCTGTAGGGAACGCAGGTATTTTAGGCTTTGCAGACCATTTACATGCACAAAAACCCATATAACACACTACAGGAGAGGCAATGGCCCCAAAAAGCTAAATAGGGCCTCTTTATGGAATCCTTCTATAAACTGTGATGAATTTTCAAGACACACGCCGCAGGTTGAATGTGTAAACAGAAGCTATTTTTATATCCTTGTACAGTCAATGATAGGGACTTACATCCTGCTGTGTACTGTTGCTAAGAAACCACTGTGACTTAATGTCTTGTGCATTATGCTGCAGTCCTCTCCTTCATACTGTGTGGCTTGTCTGTACGGTCAGTTAAAGCAAGCATGTAATGATGCTACTGAAATCAACCTTTAAAACCTGTTGTAAAATGATGTATTACACTTTGAGTTAATGGCCAATGTGTGCTATCACAATGCAGATTATTTATTTATTAAAGCATTTCCCTGAGCCATTTGCCTCTTAAAAACAAAGGTAATGCTCCTATATGCTGATCAATGTTGTTAACTGAATTTTTCATTCATAAGTTTCTATTTTGATTTTGTTCTTTTTGATTTTCTACAATCATTTATTTCTTTTGATACATGTATTAATTTATTTGAATGAAGTTCACTACAGGCAGAGTAGACAGTAACATTGTTAAATAAATGTTGTTTTGTGTCTCATTTTTTATTATTATTATTACTGTTATCATTATTATTTAAATAATGATTACTATTATTATAAAATTGTTGCCTTTTATCAAATGCTAATACAGTATATCGGCATTATAAATAAGCCATTGGTTGCTCTGCTCTGGATATTGATATCATTGAAATTGTAAAAATACAGAGATTTATGAAACAAAGTGTAGATTAGTTATAATATTATTGCACCAGATTCAGAATCAAGGCTGCATATCCTTCACCATATTGAAGTGTGTGTGTGTGTGTGTGTGTGTGTGCGTGCGTGCGTGCGTGCGTGCGTGCGTGCGTGCGTGCGTGCGTGCGTGCGTGTGTTTCCCAGCTCCTGTGTGTGTGTGTGGATGTATGTACAAATATATTTGTATACTTTTATTTTGGATTTATTTATCCTTTTTGGATTTAGGGGAGTATTGTGTGGGTGAACGAAAGTTCTGATGTGCTGTATTCATGTTTTTTGCATTGTATGTTTTGTTGTTGGAGACCCTCGAAAAAGAGATGGTTCATCTCAAGGGGCTTTCCTTAAATAAAGTTTGAAGTGACCATTCAAAGTGTACAGATGTACTTTGTGTGTCTCAGCTGAACCACCAGAGGGCCTCTTTGCACAGAGCATCAGCCCGGAGAACTGATATTATCTTAAAGCCCCTTTAAGCTACAGAACATTCATGTTTCGGGGACCATGCCTTCAGTGTCGATGCCCCCACCCTCTGGAACTCCCTCCCTGCTGAAATCCGTAACGCCCCTTCTCTGAACATCTTCAAATCAACCCTGAAAACTCATCTGTTCAACAAAGCCTTCCAACATTAACTCACTCTTCCCCCTCCTGCAATCTAACACTTCCATTTCTGCCCCCTGTTTTATGTCTGGTATATGTCTTGTTATATGTTTCTTTGTTAAGCGACCTTGGGTTGATGAAAGGCGCTATATCAATTAAAGTTATTATTATTATTATTATTATTAGTGGTTTTATAAATCATACTGAATATTAAAAACTCCCTTAGTAAGAGGAAATTGTTTACTCAGGGCAGTTATACTTAAGTCCACAATTGAGTGGAATTATTTGGAAATGTATTCATATAAATATATAAAAATAGCAAAGAACATAATTTATATATCATGACGTCAATAGTAATACAAAATAAAACAAAAAAGTAAAATAATAATAATAATAGACAGTCATAAAATGTGCACTTGACCTGATCAAAAATGCATTAAAACACAATAATGTCCTCGCTAATACAGAAAATAAATTGTGACAGAAGATTACAAATATAAGAACTATAAAAAGAAGATATGATTGCTACTTTGTACTTAATAATTATAATAATAATAATAATAACTCAAATGTATATTGTGCATTTCATTAACCCACTGATGCTTATATTAGTTGTGTACTTCTACTCCACTACATGTATTTAATACCTTTAGATACTTTACAGATCTGGATGAATGATGTGAAATATAACCAAGTGTTAAATCAGACTTCAGTTCCACCTGGAGTAAATCCACAAGCTACCCTGCAGTATACAAAGTCATTCAAACTAGCTGCACCTTTACCAGCTTTGAGAACACTTTAATGATCAATCATTATAAAACATATCATATATATTATTCTGAAATGGACCAATCTGCACAATGACTACTTTTACTGTCGCTACTTTAACTATATTTAGATGATAATACTTTTCTACTTTTACTTGAGTCACATTTTGAATGCAGTACTTTTACTGTAACAGAGTATTCCTCCACTCTGGTACTTCTACTTTTAATCAAGTACAAGATCTGAGTACTTCTACTTTTACTCAAGTAAAAGATCTGAGTACTTCTACTTTTACTCAAGTAAAAGATCTGAGTACTTCTACTTTTTCTCAAGTACAAGATCTGAGTACTTCTACTTTTACTCAAGTAAAAGATCTGAGTACTTCTACTTTTACTCAAGAACAAGATCTGAGTACTTCTCAGAGGTGGAAGAAGTCCTCAGATTGTGTCCTTAAAAGTTATACATAGAAGTCCTGCATTAAAAATGTTACTCAAGTAAAAGAACAACAGTACTAGCATCAAAATATACTTAAAGTAACGACAGTAAAAGTAGTGATTGTGCAGATTGGTCCATTTCAGAATAATATATATGATATGTTTTATAATGATTGATCATGAAAGTGTTCTCAAAGCTGGTAAAGGTGCAGCTAGTTTGAATGACTTTGTATACTGCAGGGTAGCTTGTGAATTTACTCCAGGTGGAACTAAAGTCTGATTTAACACTTGATTATATTTCACATCATTCATCCACATCTGTAAAGTAACTATTACTCAATAAATGCATTGGAGTAAAAGTACACAATTTACCTCTGAATTGTAGTGGAGTAGAAGTACAAAGTAGCATAACATGGAAATACTCGAGTAAAGTACAAGTACGTCAAAATTGTATTCAAGTACAGTACTTTAGTATATCTACTAAGTTACTTTAAACCACTATATGTATATTGTTATTTTTTTTAAACTGCGAGCCATGTTGATCTCTCTGGATATTGTTGCACATTTCAATATATATCTTTACCTCTCTTTAAATCTGCACAGCCTTCCACTCTAAATTACAATATGCTGCAGTTTATCATATACTCAATGTATTACGTTTTTTGTATATTTATATTTGTGATAAATATTGTTTTTTTATTCTCTTGTCTAATAGTTTTTCTATATTTTATTTTAATATCTTTTTTTAAATAGTTGTTGTAATTCTAATCTTCTCTTACAGCTTATTTCCTTGTGTTGTGTTTATGTTTGAGAGGCGTGTGGTGCAGTGGGTTGTGCGTTGGTGTTCGGATGGTGTTCGGATCAGGGGGTCACAGGTTCAAACCCCACTGCAGTCAGCATGTCGTTGTGTCCCTGGGCAAGACACTTCACCCCAAATTGCTCCTGTGGGGATTGCCCACAGTATTGAGTATGTAAGTCGCTTTGGATAAAAGCGTCTAACAAGTGACATGTAATGTAATGTTTGCAACACCAGCAAGCAAATTCCTTGTTTGTGTAAACGGACCTGGCAATACACTCATAAAGGTTCACCTACAGAATAAAACAAAGGTTACAGAAACAAATGAATCAAAGAATATGAATATAGTCCCTCAAAGTGTAATTCAGTCGATCTTCTTAGTTACATCAATGGGTGTCTCCATTATTGTGTCCACCACATCAATAGGCCACACTGTGTGGCAGTTAGTCGCTGTGGTCGCTGTGTACAGTGATCTCTACATCAACACATGGCAGTCTTGAATTTATCGAGTGGCGGCCAATCAGAGCCGTCGTTTTAGGGCGAGCCTCCGCCGCGCTCGGCCAATCAGCGCCGCGGAACAGGACCCGTGCCTCCAGAGTTGTGCAGCAATGCTTGTCACGTGACGCTGGGAAAAAGGAATGCCAACATGGACCCGTGGCAAGGACGGGATGTGAGCGTGCTACGACAATAACACGACGGAGGAAAACAGAAACGCGGAAAATAGAAGAACCCCTTCGACGGTGCGGCTCGTTCTCCACCGAGTTACTGCAGTACATTCACGGTAAGTCGAGCCACATATCCGGGATGCTGCTCGGTTAACAGGAGGAGTATAAATAGATCTTTTGAACCGGAGACTCATGGATTCCTATTCGGGCGCAGTTTGCATTCAGGCGGTTTGCCATGTTGTCGATCGCTCTTTCTGGTAAAAATAGTCATCGAGCGGTGTTTTCTGATTTCAATCCTCATGAGTTTAACATTCCCCTCGAAACACTCACACACACACACTCACACACTAATGGGCAAGTCAGTGCGGGCCGTGTTTACCCAGCTCTGTGTAAAGTGTGTGAGGCCCTGCTGCAACATGTGCCTGCAATCTGACAGCAGCAACACACATCCTGTGGAAGCTAATGGGCATTTCTCACCACTGTTAGCGTGTGTGTTTGGACTGTAGTTCCACATTTGATATCTGCAGACCTGAAGGTGAACTACCACTGGTGGCTAACTAACTCAACTTTTAATTTGCATACCTTTTTTGCATTTTTCCATTCAACTTTCCATAATTGTCAATATGTTTTACCTCTGTGATACATTTTACAGTTCTATGTATACTAGACCAGTGCTATAAGATGTTTTTAATTATATGGAAGATAGCAGTTTATATTTGTATTCCTTTAAAAAAAGTTAATTATAGTACTTTTCTGGGGAATATTTAATGGATTTTCTAATTTAAAGTTGGGCCTGACCAAAACATGCCTCAACTTAAAGACACATAATATGCTTATTTTCAGGTTCATATTAGTATTAGTATTATGTATTTTGTTCCTTTACTGTGACATATTTACATTCTTCAAGCTTCAGAAAGCATTCAGTACACAATGTTTTGCTCATTACAAAAATATACCCCATATATTACACTTGTATGTGGTACAATTAGATTATAACACCTAATAATGTAATGATTTCCTGAAAATGTAATAATAATTGCACATAACGTGATCGAAAAAGTCCTGTATTGATTGTTAAGGAATAATTCTTCTAGATATCTAACCTTTTGCTCTGTGACGTTTTATGAACTACTCTGACGTCTGTTATCTCCTTTAATTGGTGCCATATGTGTTGTTGTTACCAGTTTGTGACCGGTCAACTCTCGGGCACAAATGGTAATTGTTGTGAGAACACTGAGGCAGTTCTTTATCAGTGTTTGTGGACTCTTTGAGGCCATAAGTGTCAGACGCAAGTGATTCAGTGTTCCCAGCTGTTTAGTCTACTCCCTCAGAGATGTTGATTACTCTCTGTGAACCAGTTAAAAGGTCTAACATAGAGAGAGGCTCTTCAGAATTGACGTGGCAACTCTCCCGTGAAGTCAGACCCTCTGACTCGTGATTTGTGATGTAAATCCTCCGGCCGATACTCTGAATAAACCCATCAGTGTTTGACATCAAAGCTCCAGTTTCTCTCCCACACACTCCCTCCCCCCTCTCTAAGCGATTGACCAATCAGAGAAGACTGGGCTCTGGTTTCAGACAGAGGGTGAAAAGAGGTGCTGCAGCACAGGCAGTATGAGAAAAATAAAGAGCTTTTTGAACATTAGAGCATGGAGACATGTCACAGTAGAGACACTACATACATATATGAACCTAAACATCAGCATAATATGTCTTCTTTAAATCTGGGCATTGATGTAAATAGCTCTTCGTGCACTTTTACTTTCTGCTTTGTTATTAAAAAAGTAATCTTTATGTTGCCTTTGCAGGTTTCCGTGATCCCTCTTCTGGATAGTGTTTCCTCAACAGCCTCTCCTCTGCGTTTGGCCTGGATCAATGGTGTCTCTCAGCAGCAGAACGCTGAGTTTGGAGAATGACCTGTTCAGGGACAGCAGCAGCCTGTTCTCCCTCGGCCTGGGAGACAGCGAGGGGGGCAGCTCGGCCTCCTGCGACAGCCCCGACGCCGGGGAGCTGGGGGCGATGCAGGAGGAGGATGAGGAGGAGGAAGAAGAAGATGATGATGAGGACGAGAAGATGAGTCTGCACATCTTTCTAGGAGGTATTGGTCAACCGATTAGAGATGTCACGTGTATTGGGGTTAAAGTCCGGGGTCCAAAACTAGCAAGCCACATGAATGTCTGGGAGCAAATACATTTTATAAGCTACACAAATACGGCCTGGATCCGTTTAATTCTCGGAACACTGGGTTGCAGATTAGAATTCCAAAAGTTCGTTTAGCGTGAAACACTTGAAATAACTAAAGGATAAGTTAAAAAAGAAAGTAGAAAGAAATTGAGGTCAAAGAAAACTATTTCTGCTAAAAAGTGAGCAATGATTGAGAGTCAGAGCCAAACATTTCAGATGCGTGTATCTCACACTGCACTGTAACTTTAATTCATGTACCTTTGTCATTCATGTTTTATTATCTTTGCTTTTAAATGAGTGTTTTTAAATGCCATTTTATAATATGTTTCTTAATGTCTTTCATGTTTGTAAAGCACTTTGAATTGCCTTGTGTTGAAAGCTGCTGTATAAATAAACTTGCCTTGTCTAGGAGCGGAGGATGGCGATGAGGAGGAACCTGCGAGTCACGAGCCTAAACTGCCAGATTTCCCTTTCCATCCCTCTTCCCCGTTTTCTCCCACGCTGGAAGACATCGAGGAGTTCTTGAGGGAAAAGATGGAACTTGTCAAAGAGGGTCTTCTTGTCCCAAAAGACGAGGGTCTTCTTCTTATTCCAAAAGAAGAAGCTTCCCCTCTGCCATGCAGTGACTCTCCATCCTCCACTTTGACCCCCGAAGCCTCCTCAGACACTTGCCGTGATCAAGGGAAGGTTGCTTCTCATTGCACTTCAAGTTTCCCTAAAAAGGAGGAAATCAGCGCAGAAGACCACTCCCCTTCTGCTCAACGTAACCCCTCACCTTCCTCCCAAATGCTCCTTGGTGCCCCGTTGGTTCTGCAGCTACAGCCCCTATCTCCAACCCCCGCTGGCTCTCCTCCAGGGGCCCAAAGTGGCATCTGGCTCACTCATCTGGTCATGGGCCTCCAGGGTGCAAGAGGACAACATGTCACCCTGCTGAACCCCACCACCACCACCACCTTGTTGTCTCTAAACAGCGGAGACAACAAGTCAGCTGACCAGAAGTACGTGAGGATCGCCCCCCTGCCCTTCACTATGAGGACTCTAGAGATCAAGGGCCTGACGGGGGTTGGGGGTCAGGGCACTGAACTGTTGAAGGCCATGACCCCCCGGGTGAGCAGACTGCCCCCCACAGAGAGGGTCCACAAGTGCTCCCACCCAGGCTGCGGGAAGATGTACACCAAGAGCAGCCATCTGAAGGCTCACTTCCGACGGCATACGGGAGAGAAACCGTACACGTGTAGCTGGCCCGACTGCGGCTGGAGGTATGTAGCATGATGAAATAATAATAATAATAATAACAATAAACTTTATTTGTGTAAGATAAGACTGTATTTATCCCGAAGGAAATTGTTGTGCCAGAGTTACAAAAATACAATATACACAGCATAATAAAACTGTACACTAACAGTGCAGTAAAAAGAGTAATTCAATATCTACAGGAAACATAGACGGTCACATAATTAAGTACATATTAACAGTATTTAGTAGTGCAAAAAACATAGTGGCAGATACGTAATTTCACGTTATTATAGAACATTATTAATAATAATGATATTGCACATGTTGTATAGCAGCGAGTGTTTTGTAATGATGGTAATGATATTTATATTGCACATAGTGTTGGTGTGGAAGTTGGAGTATAGAGCAGCTTTCATGCACAAAGCAGCCCAAAGTGCTTCACAGAACAAGAAGGAAACATGACAACAATATTAAAATAAATAGAGAACAAGATAAAAACATCAACAGTGATCCTAATGAAATGCCCTTGAAGTAAGCTGACAAGAAATTAAAATAGGTTCAAATAAAACATTTAAAAAAATAATAAAAGCAAAACTGAAAAAATACAGTAAAACATGGACAATGATACTAGTGAGAATTGAAAGCTAACCCAAATTAAAAGCCATATTAAAAAAGATTTTAAACATTTCAAGGGAGTTTGCTGTTCTAAGATCCACGGGGAGGCGGTTCCATGATGTTTGCTAACGGCTAAGAGTTAAAGGTGGGGTAGGTAAGTTTGAGAAACCGGCTCGAGATCGCTAGAATTTGTAAATACACAACCGGAGAAAATCTGCCACTTCCTTACAGAGCCCCTCCTCCAACACACACGAACGCGCACATGACCAATGAGGGCACGAGATAAGTTTGTGCACAGATGGAAGGCTGACAGGCAGGTAGGCCATCCAGTTATTTTAGCCGGGCCGGCTAAAATGATTGGTCGTGCTTTTTACAGTACTACGGCTTCCACAGATGACATTTTTTTATGGATTTTTTGTCAAAGCACTTCAGATATTCATTGCTATCGGGATGTTAAGAGCATTCCATGGAATATAACAAAAACTGTATCTCGAGCCGGTTTCTCAAACTTGCCTACCCCACCTTTAAGATCAAGATTACAAAAATACAAAATGTCATTTTTTCCCCCATTGGTTTTAGCAACGGGCTGCAATATAATGATGCAGGGATGAGTCTTAAAACCCAGAAATGAGTTCGCATTTTACCACTTCGGGTTCCCTCGTCTCAAAGTTTTTTGAACGTGTTATTGGTTAGATGCCTGAAATAAGATATATGGTGAACAAAAGCTTAATAGACTTTCACGTTTTGTCCTACGACATCAAATACGTCAGTTAATACCCCACTCGAGAATAATACCGAAGCTTCTATGTGTCACAATAATGGCAGTTGCTAACACTACGACGAACATTAGCCGTCATTAGCTTAGCGGTGGTGACATGAAGTCATGTGATCGTTGTGTAGTTCGTTCATAGCTTAACGCTAGCTTTTTACTTCTTCCGATCGCATTTACGCTTCAAAAATCACAAGGGGGTGGAAAGACCTGGGTAAGGGTTATCTTATTTTAGCGTATTTTATGAAATATACCGAAATCCACTGGAAAAATCCGATTGCTTTTTGACGAGGGAACCATTGCGATGCTTACTTCCAGGTCGGCCTACTAAGAAACGTCATCAATGCACCACTCTATCCTGATGCTCTTATTATCATAGATAACTAAGCCAGGCATATGTATAAATGTGTCTTTGATTGTGTATATATATATAGGTATATAAATATTTATATTCAGGATTGTGGGAAACGGTCTCTCTGTCAGTACACACCAGCTGGAAGATTGACAATAAAGTTGACTTTGACTTTGACAGTTGGCTAATTTGGACAAAAATGTGGTGTATCTTTTCATCACGGTGTTCCTTACTCCACCTTCCTGCTCTTTTGTCGCCAGGTTTTCCCGATCTGACGAACTTTCCCGCCACCGCCGCTCTCACTCCGGCATCAAGCCGTACGAGTGCTCCCTCTGCGAGAAGAAGTTTGCCCGCAGCGACCACCTGTCCAAACACACCAAGGTCCACCGCAGCTCCAGACCCGGCAGGATCCTCAAGGCCACCATGTGACGCTCTTTAGCCTAAACAGCCTCGAGGGGGGGGTCCGGGTCTCCCTCAGGATATTTTTGGTGCTTCACAAGCAGAACTTTTAAAAGAATTGTGAGAGCTGGACGCTGTTTCTTCCCCTCCTCCTATTTGTCTTTCTCTCCCCCCCTGCTGTTTAAATGTCACTGTTCCTTCTGAGCAGCTCATCTGATTCTCCTCAGGAAACCCCCATCTGAAAGTGGATTTCCTGGCACACAATGCAAAACACCTAACAGGAGACAGTTTTTACAGGGGCCCCTCTTGCAAACCACTCAAGCTAACCTACTATCTGCTGTTCAAGAAGTAACAAGCAATAGGAGTGTCTGTAACTCTATAATCCTCTTTTTACTTCCGTGATTCTTTTTCGAAGCCAAACTTCAGGGTCCATGGATTAAGCATTCATTTTTATACGCTGTTGAAAGGAAATTTTAATCTTCATGTGTCTCATCATACGACATGTTAAAGTGGCAGAGCGTGACAGCCATCACATGAGGGTGACATTCTGATGAAATCTCCCCTAAACGCTTTCCCACTTCCCGCTGAATGAACTCTTGATATTAGGAGAAAATGCGGAGACATCGTCAGACTTACATTTTGGCCAAACTGAGAAAACTTCCGATGTTGAACGCATCCCATCCTGGCCTTCGTTGCACTCGTCCAATCATAATCCACCTCGTTTGACCCCGTATGCCTTTTCTCTCAGCCCCGGTTCACTCTAATCTCTATTGATGCCTTTGTACATATCACAAAACCACCTCACTTGATCCTACTCTTATCATATGACTGCTCTTATTTGACTGTGATTGGGAACTGGGGAGTTGACAAACCTGAAAACCCTGTTCTGGCCCAGCTAGAGCATGAAACGACACCCACGACAGTTTTTAAGCTCTTTTGTTCTGGGAAATTCTCTCGCAACCATTGTGCAGCCGACTTCTGTCTGGCTTGAACAATTACTACTACTACTGTTATGTTTTGGCTCAACGGTGCAAAAGTGAGGCAAAACAGTGCTCTTCCTGAGTAACAGTAGCAGTTACTATAATACATGTATGTTGGTTATAGCAGCAAGAAAAGCTAATATTTTAAACAGCTGGATAGGCAGCTAACATCTACTTAATCATCTCTATTAGCATACTCATACATATGTGTACCGTAACATAAAAGACAAAGATAACATGTACAGCTTGTAGCCTTTACATATAGATGTGTTTTCTTTTTTTAAATCGATGAGGATTTTTCAATCAGTGCATTAAGCTATTCAAATGTGTTTCCGGAGAGAGGGTTTTTGGTATTTTCATGTGAGTTTGATTGTAGCGTGATCAATCTGTGGAATGTCAGACTGATTATGGTCTGGGATTTGGAGTCCCATTCAGCTGAGTCTCAAGTGCACTTGTGTTCGTGGAAAGTGAGAAAAACAGTCATTGTGTTCTTATGGCAGTTCCATAACATGTATACCTTTGGAACGAACGGTAAAATGCCAAAAAAAGATTATAAATATTTTCTAAGGAACTGCAATGCAGTCACTATTATCATGTGTTCTTTAAAACACGTCGATGCTTGTAAAGCTACCACTGCTTCACATGAAGAGACTGTATTCATTACGCCTCACATAACTGACTCGTCTCTGTTGAAGCAGCACTCACTGCTACAAAATGTAGGCTAACCTAACTTTCATTTTTAGGGGCTTTTGGATAAACTCAAAAGCAGAGCACTCCCTGCATGTAGCGGTGTACATTTACACTTCCTCCATATCTCTGTCTCTTAGCATAATGGATACATTATGGTTCACTCCTGTTTGATAAACAAACCATGCTTATTAGTAAGGTAGGAACCCATTGAAGGCAGACAGGCGGGCAGACGTGTTTATCTGTCTGAACCAATGCTGTCTTTGTGTCTGAGCCTCCCCAGGCAGCCTCTACTGACCTACATCCAGACCTGTGTTCCCTAATCATCATCCAATTCTCTCTATCTATCGCTACGTCTCTCTGTCAGTCTCTCTGTCTCCCTACTCTCTGTCATGCCTGTTTATCTGGTTTAACACAGGCTTTATTTTTATTTTATTTTGGAATACCAGATATGCTATTTTCCTATTTGCAAAAATAAAAAAGCAAAAAATGAAATCCTTTCCCTTTGTTATTTTTTCAAGATGCAAGGCTTTTATTGTCATTCGTACATGGCTACAGTGTAGTTATGTCTATGAAAATCTTAGGTCACAGGCTCCTCCTCCAACAATGCAACACAATAAACGGATAAAATAGTGCAAGTAAAATAAATGAAATAAAACAAATAAAATAGATGCTTAATGAAAATATGAAAGTGTGAGAAAGTAAAAGCAGTTTTACTTTTTAACAAATAAGCTTCAACCTTCAGATCTGAAAAGAGAGGCAAATGCGGACATCAAAGTCTCAAAGATCCAGCACGGCAATTTCACCCTGTGCAAAAATAATTCAGATTGCATAGAAGACTGAGAAAAGTACCCTTCTTCTCACTCTGGGATAACACAGGCTGCATTTTCTTTGTTTTGGAATACCAGATATACTATTTTTCTTTTTGCAAAAATAAAAAAGCAAAAAATGAAATCCTTTCCCTTTGTTATTATTTGAGAGATGTCGACTGAACATAACTGATAGCTGGGTTCATATAAAAGTGTGAGAATGTAAAAACTGTTTTCATTTTACATTTTACAAGCGGCAACTTAAAGGTTTGAAAAGTGAGGCTACTGCAGATAAAATGCAATATTTGTATTATCAAGTTGGGCATCTTCACTGTCTGCAAAAAGAAGTCAGATTGTACAGAGGTCGATGAAAAAATAACCCAACTTCCCACTGTAGTTTATTGCAGGCTTTTTCTTTATTTCATTTTTTTTGGATTACCAGATATGCTATTTTCTTAATTGCAAAATAAAAAAATGAAATAATTTCCTTTGTTATTTACGAGAGGCTTGCTGAATATAACACAGCTACTTCACATATGAGGACAGAATGGGAGTTACAGTAATAGCTCGGTTCATAAAAAAGTGTGAGAAAGTTTTAATTTTAACAAACCCCACCACCATTTTACATTTTCCAATTTAAAAGTGGCAACCTCTTCAGGCTTGATTTTTGCCCAAAGACTTCATAGTCTCAATAGATTACAAATACAAATTCATTTTGTAAATTATGTTCCCAGTCAACTGTTGTGTGTTCAGTTCATGAAAGTTAATATTTTACATTTTGGTTAATGTGTAGTTTGTAGTGATCACTGATTTACATAATTCACTCATGGAACTACAGGTTGGGGGTATTGTTCCGCACGGACAGATATGTTGACGGTACCTACTGTGTACCTACTGTGTGCCCTCCTTTCTCTTCTTCCCTTCTCTTCCCGGACTTCAAGCCGGCAACTGTGCTTTTCTGCTGCTCAATAAAGTCTAGTTTATACCTTCCTTGCACCGCCTCCGACTCCCATCTCTCGGCACTAAGACATACATCCCTGACATAAGTCTCGCAGAAGTTTCCGAGACTGGACCGAACATGGCTAGAAACGCCGTTTTTCTCAAACTGCCGGAGATTTTTGGAGGCGTCCGTGGCTGCCTCGTGCACACAGACTGAGGTTCGGTGCGCCCTCCGCGGAATGGCCGAGGACGCTCGCCATTCCCACATCGTTTCGGCACTGCGAGACGGCGAGCCTTCCGACCACATGGAGACGATACACGACCTGCTAGGTACGGAAGAACCCGACTTCTTGCACATGGAACTGTTTCTTCGGGTCATGCGGCCGCATGTCCAGCCAGCACTCGCTAACACGGCTAGTGTTGAGCCCCGCGCTTTAGCCGAAGAAGCTGACCGGTTCTTCCTGGCCGCCCGGCGATTTACCCCTGAGGTGCTGGCCCCGACACGCAGCGGCACCTTCCCTGGTAGGGGCACGCCGCCTAGCAGAGGCTCCGAGGCCGACGACATCGAATAACGGCTACCGGCTTGCAGCTAACGGCCATCGACAACGGCTAACAGCTAACGGCTAACAACGGCTAACAGCTAACGGCTAACACCGACGACTAACGGGTAACAACGACAGCTAACGGCTAACAACGACGACTAACGGCTAACAACGGCTAGCAGCTAACGATGACTGACAGCTAACGGCTAGCGGCTAACGGCTGACTTCGTCCATCTGTTAACATCTGACTGTTAACCCTTTTTGGTGGTAGCGGAGAGGAGGTTCGACCAAGTCTGGTTGACCTCGTGTGGATCCTCTCACAATTTCGCCCACTTGTTTTTTGATCGTGGACAGGACGACACTTTTCAGCTTTTTCCGGGGCCTGAGAGGAGGTTCGGCCATGTATAGGCCGGCCTCGTGTGGACCCTCTTACTGTTTCACCACCTCAACGACAGTTTCGGACGTCGCCCACGCTTTCATCGGCGCCTGGGTGGCGCGCTTCGGGACCCTGTCCGGCCTCTTCCCTCGCCTCGGCAACAGCTTCGGACGTCGCCCACGCTTTCATCGGCGCCTGGGTGGCGCACTTCTGGACCCTGCCTGGCCTGTCCTCTAACCGCGGCTCACGGTTCGCCTCGACGGCGGCTTCGGACGTCGCCCACGCTTTCATCGGCTCCTGGGTGGCGCACTTCTGGACCCCGTCTGGCCTCTCCCCTGTCCACGGCTTCTTCCTCCCGAGGACTTCGTGCCCGCCGCCACTGTGCCCTCGCCTGCGGCCGGGCGGCGCTCCTCCCTGCTGGAGACCACCGGGATATTCACGCCCATCCCCACGTCGCAGCACAGCGACCCAGCTTTCTACGGCTGGCGGATGTTGTCTTCATTTGCCACGACGCCTACCACGGCCCCCTGCGGCCCCCTTACGACGGCCCGTTCCATGGCCCGCCCTCCACCCCCCGGAGGGGATGCCCTCGCCCTCGTTGGGGCCCCTGCCCGGTCCTGCGGCCCCCTTCCGACGGTCCATTCCATGGCCCGGCCCTCGCCTGTGTCCCCACCCTCCTCGGCCCCTGTGTTGCTTCCTCCCGCATGTGAGGATTGTGTCCATGGTTGAATTCTGGGGGGGCTTGTGTAGTGATCACTGATTTACATAATTCACTCATGGAACTACAGGTTGGGGGTATTGTTCCGCACGGACAGATATGTTGACGGTACCTACTGTGTACCTACTGTGTGCCCTCCTTTCTCTTCTTCCCTTCTCTTCCCGGACTTCAAGCCGGCAACATGTGCTTTTGTGCTGCTCAATAAAGTCTAGCTTATACCTTCATTGCACCGCCTCCGACTCCCATCTCTCGGCACTACACTAGTTCAACATTAAAGGTAGGGTAGGTAAGAATGGAGAAACCAGCTCGAGTGCGCTAGAATTTGAAACTACGCAGCCAAAAAAAATCTGCCCCTTCCTTCAGACTTCCTTACAGAGCCCCTCCTCCAACCCACGCGAACACGCACATGACCAATGAGGGCACAAGATACGTTTGTGCACGAGATGGAAGGCTGACAGGCAGGTAGGCCATCCAGTTATTTGACCGGGCCAGGGCAGATGATTGGTCTAGCTTTTTACAGCGCCACGGCTTCCACAGATGAAATATTTGTATATATTTATTGTCAAAGCATTTAATTTATTCATTGCTATCGGGATGTTAACCCTTAGAAGCATAAGTGGATCTTTTTTGACCCGGTGAGGTGGTTTTCTTGAAGTATCTTTGTAATTACATTTTTTTATCATTTCATATTCCAGCTATTCCTCAAAAATCATGTTTTGGATATCATGCCATTCACATTTTAAATTTACATTTTAAGAAATTGTAGTCTTTGTATTATTACCCCAAGCTTCCATAAGTGGGTCAAAAATGACCCGCATGCCTTTTCTATGGAATCCTATGGGAACCTTTGATTCTTATCAAAATCGCTTTACAATATAAGGGAAGGTTAGGGTGGGGGGTAAGAGCATTCCATGGAATATAACTGTTGGGGAAATATTTTCCAGGGCCCCTAACTTTGACCCAGTTTATCAGTTCAGACTGTCCTGACTGAGCACACGCACCTGTAACCTTGGCTGCTGTGCTCTCAGTGTTTTGTCTCCCTGTTCCTGCCTGTTGGCGTCAGCTGATAGAGGTGTTATGATTCTATCTTGTTATGCACAATGTTGATTATTCTCTCTGAACTAGCTAAATACATGGGTCTGGGGTAGAGTTTTTGAGAATTGACGTGGCAACTCTACCGTGAAGTCAGAACCTCTGGCTCTTGGACTTGTTTTGTGAATTCTCCGGCCGAAACTCGTAATAAACCATCAGTGTTTGACATCAAAGTTCCAGCTCTACCCCGTGTCTCCTTCCTGAGTCGATGACTCCCACTGCATTGCTACACAGAAGTTTCTCCCACAATAACAAAAAGTGTTTCTGAAGTGAATTACCTACTCTATCTTTAAGCTGTACTCCACTCCACACAAAAACAAGATGGCGACGGCCAAAATGCCATCTATAGGGTTCAAAACAGTAGTCCAACCAAACAAATGTATCAGAATCGATATACTGCTGCCTGTGGCTTGAAACCACATTGAAGAGGACAAATAGACTGATCCAAACTCTTACATTTGTGTGTTGAACAAAACAAGATGATGTGAAATAGTATAAAGAGTTCCATAGAGCTGAGGTTAACTGAAGAATCAAGTGACTCAAGCGTCTTCTTTCACATTACACACAATGAGCCTCATTCAGGAAGCGATGTACAAACACATTTGTTCTTATTTATGTTCGTATCCACAATGTGTTTCTTTGTAACTTTTGATTCCAGGGATTAACCAATGTTTGTTTGAAGAGAACGAGGATCAAAAAACATCCGGTTTTCCCAATCTGCAAATAGTTTATCAATCTGCTTTTTGATCTGACGCTGTAGAAAAGTAGGTTTAAAGGCACAATATCATTCTGTATTCAATTTCTGGGATGTGCCCGAGTATTTGCACGTGACACAACCCCTGTCTTCACATGTTGTTTTATATTATGAATTATATCATGATCATCGTTTCTTTGGGAGTTTAAGATAAGATAAGATCAAATCAGAAGTACTTTATTGATCCCAAGTTGGGAAATGTTTGTGTTGCAGCAGCATAAAAATACATGGCATTGTCAAATAAAATTAAAAGACTAGAAATAAACATTT